GAGGAGGGGAAGGGGGATGGGAAGGAGGAGGGGAAGGAGGAGGGGAAGGAGGAGGGGAAGGAGGAGGGGAAGGAGAAGGGGAAGGAGGGGGGGAAGAGGGGAGGGAGAGGGGAAGGAGGAGGGGAAAGAGGAAGAAGGGGCACGTAGAACATTCCAGTCCTGCACTGCTCTGGCAGCGTTCTCTATCAGTGACCACCCGGTCACACGCAACGATAGATTGTGTAAGATTCCTCGTACCCGTACCCGACAAATGTCCGTTTTATAGGAACTGTGTTGTATGTTTTTACGTTCCAATCTATCGTCCAGTTTTCTTTCGATCGAGGAGATTCCTCCTCATAAAGCCACAGTGCCTCACCCTATGCGCTGCTGTGCTTAGCAAAATAAAGAAAAAGAAGCTTATTTGGACAAAAGAATCGGATTTTGAAGCGATATATTATTATTACGTTCACTCACACACACACACGAGGGGCTCTCGTCTTCTCTAGGCACGGTGTTCGCCTCTCATTCAATAGGTACTGGGTTCGAAACTTGACAGCGACCGAGAAGAAAATTCTTTTCTAAAAATGTCTCCTTTCACCTCCTCTCCTTTTCTCTAGATATATTCTGCTTCCATCTCCACTTTCTTTCCTCCCCTACCCCGTACCCCCACCCACCCCCGGCCTTCGGGCTCCTCCTTCCTTTCCACCTTGCTCTTTCCTTGCTCCTTCTTACTGCTACCTTTACTTCTAGCCACACTCCTGACCTTAGTCTTCGGGTGGGTAAGATCGAACACCTAGTCTTTTCGGATAAGGGCTCAAATTCTCGGAGGTCCCAAGTGAAAGTTGAGCACGTTAAATTATTCTCTTGGTGGTCCTAAAATCGATAAGAATAGGCTTCGGCCCCGTGCCAGGCAAATTTTGCCTTTATCCGAGATGGCCAGGTGTTCGACCTTACCTCCTTTTTTTCCGAATATGAAATCAGATTTTATCTGGGATAATAATTATTTAAATTTTGCGCCCCAAGTTTAATCCTGCGCAGCTGCAAATTTAAAAGTGATTCTACGTCACAGCCCGTCTCCCCCAAATCTGATTGGGATTGCATATTAAGCAGCGCTGGAGTCTCCAAGCCATCGTCCAATCGTCCAAACTTTGTACAAATTTGTAGTTACACCTAACGATTTGTCGTATAATGGATAGATCGTCCAGTTTTGTATCCGGTAATATATTTACGACAAATCGTAAGTGAAACCACAACATTGCAGAAAGAGCATCAAATTAGAGAACATTAATCATCTCCATCTCTTTCTCTCTCTCTCTCTCTCTCTCTCTCTCTCTCTCTCTC